TTCCTATATAATGTGATAACAATCACCAACGTTGTAACTTCGAATCTCTTCTTTACCTTACATAAAATTAATACAAGTCATTGTCTACGCACCAATAGACATGAAAATTAGATCGCATGTTAGGCCAATCTTAGCAGATATGTAGTTTTTTCGATTGTTATCAAAAGCTAGTGTATTTTAATCCTTACAGCAAAGCACAAACTGTCTATCGAGTCTAGACTCTAGACAATCAAATTAGAAACGGAAATGATAATTGTACCGGTGGGTTGACAACCCCCCTGACCGGCCCCCCACAAAAGGTGGGCCCCCACTGCTGTGAGGGGCCGGTCAGGGGGATTGTCAACCCCCGGTAACTATAGCATAATTCAATTAGAAATAAGCCACTTTGCCAAAAACATTTGCCTATATAATAAAAAATCTGACTATTTTTTTAAACGGTCGAATGATAAAATGTCATCGTCATTCTGTCAAAGAAGATGACAATATAGCATGGTCCATCAAATTAATCCTACTTTAATAGGCTACTTACCACCGAGTAACCAAAGACAAATTTCTCAGAAAAAAGACTCCAATTCCATTGTTGAGAAGTCTAGATAAAAAAAAATGTAGATTTCTTTCAATCTACTATTTCTGATTGAACTTTGAATTCTATGCTTGTTATTTATTCCACTTTCATCTTAATATTCCATTCAAATAAAAAGTCACTTATTTTGACATTAAGATAATAAATAGTCATATGAGCCACATTCAATTGAAAACCGTACAAAGAGAGAGCGGCTTAATATAAAATGGCACGTCCAACCTTTGGCTAAGATCAAGTGTAGCAAGATTGGATGTAAAATCTTGATGTATATGCAGCAAGATCTCTGTTCTTATTCGCTTAACATTGGATATGTTGACCATTGGCCTATCGCAAAATTAAATTAACTATTGGAAAAAAGAAAAAAAAAATCGTAGCTATTATATTTTAAGATTATTTTTTCAAAAAGAAAAAAAAATTTGAAAAACTATGGAGAGAGAAGTACGCTTAGGATTTTTCAAATAATTACTTTATTTCTGAAGAATTAATTGGCTAACCTGATTTGTGAAAAGAAAAATTAAAAACATGAATTTCACTTTTAGTTATTTTATAAGATGAAAAATCAAACAATTGTAATAAAATTAAATTCACCAAATTTTTTAATAATTTCATAACATTTTTTTTTTTTAATTCAATACTTTAAATAAAAATTTCATTAGTTCTAATAGAAAATAGCAACTAAAATTATTTGTCTAAATCTAATGAATATGGACAATAAAAATAAATTATCAAAAACTAAAATAAATAAATAAATGGGAAATAATCACCAACGTTGTAACTTCGAATCTCTTCTTTACCTTACATAAAATTAATACAAGTCATTGTCTACGCACCACTAGACATGAAAATTAGATCGCATGTTAGGCCAATCTTAGCAGACATGTAGTTTTTTAGATTGTTGTCAAAAGCTAGTGTATTTTAATCCTTACAGCAAAGCACAAACTGTATCGAGTCTAGACAATCAAATTAGGAATAAGCCACTTTGCCAAATATTTTATCTCACCCTCTTGACAAATGCAGTGACAGCAGATGATTGGATAAAAAATCTGACTATTTTTTTAAACGGTGGAATGATAAAATGTCGTGGACATTCTGTCAAAGAAGATGACAATATAGCATGGTCCATCAAATTAATCCTACTTTAATAGGCTACCTACCACCGAGTAACCAAAGACAAATTTCTCGGAAGAAAGCCTCCAATTCCATTGTTGAGAAGTCAAGATAAAAAAAAATGTAGATTTCTTTCAATCTACTATTCCTGATTGAACTTTGAATTCTATTCTTGTTATTTATTACACTTTTATATTATTTTAATATAAAATGGCACACCCAATTCAATTGGAAACCGTACATTTATCGGCATTTGGCTAAGATCAAGTGTAGCAAGATTGGATGTAAAATCTTGATGTATATGTAGCAAGATCTATATTCTTATTGGTTTAATATTTGATATGTTGATCATTGGTCTATCGCAAAATTAAATTAACTTTTGGAAAAAAGATAAAAAAAAATAACCGTAGCTATTTTATTTTAAGATTATTTTTTCAAAAATAAAAAATTTTGAAAAACTATTGAGGAGAGAAGTACGCTTAGGATTTTTCAAATAATTACTTTATTTCTGAAGAATTAATTGGCTAACCTGATTTGTGAAAAGAAAAATTAAAAACATGATTTTCACTTTTAGTTATTTTATAAGATGAAAAATCAAACAATTGTAATAAAATTAAATTCACCAATTTTTTTAATAATTTCATAACATTTTAATTGCATGAAATATTCATAATCTTTACTCGTTATTATATTTATATCCTTTACTTTTTTTTTTATTGTATTCTTACTTTCAAATTCATACAACTTGTCCCTAATTACAGTTTATGTCTAGCAATTTATAAAAAAAAAAATGGTGTGAATATAAGTATTCTATTAAAAATTAGGTACACGTTTTCATACGAATAAAAAAACCTAAAATGACCCTTAACATTATCTTACACCACCACCAAATACAAAATCCACTACCGCGGTCCACCTCCACTCAAATTAAAGATCCAAAACTCGCAACCTTCTATTACCATCTCCCAATTTGAAATGCCACCGACGCCACACCAAGGGTTCGATGATAGATGTTGAAGTCAGATATGTAGTATCCTCCCTTTTGCTTGCAGCAATGTGGGTTTTGGTGGTGGTGCAGATCGAGTGCAATTTTGTAGTTGTTTTCGATGATTTTGTGATGATTCGGGAATTAGGATAGCAAAGGTGACTATGCGGTTTTGTAGTGATGGTGGCGGTACAATTTTGTGTCGGTAGCCTAGATGGTGGCATGGTGTAGATTTGGTGGCAACGTGGTGATGTCGCGACGTTGGCGGCACATGGCAGATATAACTTATAAGTGATAGGTGGTGGTAGCTGGTGTTAATTTCCAAAGTTACAATTTCAAGAATTTAAAAATATTATAACAACAATAACACAATGTAATGATTATTTCAAAAAAAAAAAAATACTTTGATAAATACACTGTAACAGAATTTAAATGTAACTTAACATAAAGTGTATTATCACTACAACAAAAGTAATCATTTGCAACATTAAAAATGCAACATTTGTCAACAAATGTTGCTAAAATGATCTTTTGGCAACATTTTAGCAAGTGAATGTTACTATTGATATTAATAAATGAGTTTTGGTAACTTTTTTTTGAAAAATGTTGTGGTAGACACCTTTAGTAACATTTATTGAGTGTTGCGGAAGATTTTACCTTTAGCAACGTTTATCAAACGTTGCGAAAGGTGAGACTTTTCGTAACTTTCACCAAACGTTGCTAAAAGTCATCTTTAGCAACGCTTATCAAACGTTGCGAAATGTGAGACTTTTCGCAACGTTCACCAAACGTTACTAAAGAAGAATTTTAGCAACGTTTGGTGAACATTGCGAAAAGTGCAACGTTTATCTCTCTACTCTACGATAATACATCGATTTGCAACGTACGTCCAAACGTTGTCGTAGACCTACGACAATGTTTTTTTAACGTTGCTGTAAGCTGTTTTTGTTGTAGTGTACGACTCTCAAATTTCACTTACACACACTTCGAAGAATTACATGCACCATAATTTTTCAAAAATAACATATTTAAAGATATAGCTGATTTTCTAAAGGTTAAATGTATTCACACCACTTTTTTTAATAATTAGATTACATTTCGATTGCCGAAAATATTCATAACCTTTACACATTATCTCATATATGTCTCATACTTTTTTTATTGCATTCTTATTCTCAAATTAACATAATTTGTTCATGGTTATGGCTTCTCAACAAAATATTCTTTAAAATAGAGTAAAAAGACTTATATACTCATTGCATTTTTGAATAAGCAAAATCAATAATGCTGCAAAACTGCGATTAAATATTTGATCATCATTTTAAAGCACATTAACAATTTTTTGAACGAAAAATCATGATTAATGACAATTTTTTTTCATTAATGAAATGTTAAAAAGAATGTGATGAAGCAAAAAGTTAAGGATATAAGTGTGATAAAGAATAAAGGCTAATTACCTTAAATACAATTAAAATATCATATATTTTAATTTATTCTTTAAAGTCATATAAATAATCTATTACTTAACCAAAAAAAAAAAAGACACATTTTGTACCCAATATTTATTAAAATGGACGATCTCTTTCTTGTGGCAAAAGGATTCCACAGGTCCTGATATATTCTTTCACTTGTAAAGCTACTTTTATTCTGTCGACTATGAAGTCATTTTTCCATGCACGGACAATTTATCTTTTCTATCACTTCGGATATCCCAAAAATGCATTTACGGCCACCTGCGACTTTAGATGACCATCCACAAGGAAAGTAAAGTCCCTTTGGCTCAACGACCTAGGATCAAGCAAAACATCCACCGCTCGTAGGGGTAGTCCATCGCCACCTACGTGACTCCGTTCATCTTATATTAAATCATCTCATTCAAAAGTTTAAACGGTTTAAAAGGAAATAAATTTATCTCAATATTTTTAAATTCGTAGCGGGATTTGACTCAAATAATTGAACCAAGATAGCAACTAAATTGATTTTTGTGTTGACAGATAGATTGCGGAAAAAAAGGGGGGGAAATCCATCGCAATAGTTTGTGTGACGGATTATGTACAGTTTGGCACCATCGCAAACCACAACTCATCACGAATAAACAATTTCTTTTTTGTAGGGTACTTGAATTATCTCATCTAAAAATTTAAACCGTTCAAACGAGATACAATTACTTTGTTAGATTACTTGTTGATAGTCCCCGCACACGTATATAGCTCTGTAAAGAGATTCTTTGCATGTCCCACATTCAATGTCTTTTAATATTCCTTCTCCATGCACAAATGGATGCCATTTCTTGATTCTCCATTATCATTCCTTCGATATTCAATCATGTTTCCAGAATTAGAGGTATGTTATAAAATCCCAGGTCACATATAGATACATATATTTATGTATAACATTTTTTTTAGATTTTTACCATAGTTTTTTTTTTTTTCTTTTTTCTTTCTTTCTTTCTTTTTTTTTTTAGAAGAACAAATTCTTAATTTGATTCATTTTTAATTTTTCTGAAAAATGCAGAAACCTCGAGTCACAGAGATACAAGTCCGAATAGACTGTAATGGTTGTGTACAGAAGATAAAGAAGGCCCTTCATGGTATTAATGGTAAGTGTTGGAACCTCGACAAGTGCTCTTCTTCCATATTCGTCAAAATCTGGGAATTTCGAAAAACCGATGATTTTTTATCTTACATAATGTTGGTGTGGCAGGTATATATGATCTCAACATCGATGTTGCTCAGCAAAAAATAACAATAATTGGGTGGGCAGATCCAGAAAAAATAGTTAAAGCCATTAAGAGGACAAGAAAAAATGCCATAATTTGTTCTCAAACAGAACCACCAGACGACCAACCACCACCAGACGGCGGAGCACCACCACCAGAGTCCAGTAACCCTCCACCAGAGCCTGATGAAAATACATCAGCAGAGCAGCCAAAAGATTCACCACCACCAGAGTCAAAACCGTCCCCTGATGAAGCTGCTGATCAAACGTCTAGACCAAAGGGTGTTGAAGAGGCTCATGTAATAAACCACTCGCCACCAGAACACGGCAGCGGTTATGGTGGTGGACGGTGTAACGTTGCTTATCCCTGTGGTGGTAGTGGTACAGGATTCAGAGGCGAGCCACCTCAACCCATTTATGTGGCTCACAGTTACAATACACACAGACCATCAACTTATGTGACTGAATATGCAAATTTCAGGCCACCGCCGGCCGGATACTCATTCTACGGTAGACCCTACAACTACAGAGAGGATTTTCGGGCCGGAAACTATGGCAGTGGGAATATTAATATCACTTCAATGTTCAGTGATGAAAATCCAAATGCATGCACAATTGTGTAGATAGGCGGCGCTTTGTCCACTGTGGTCTTGCTGCTATCATGTACCAATATTGCGTACAAAATATGCAGTTCGAGGAGAACTCAATAAAATTCATTGGCAATAGTACCTCGGTAATAGTCCGCTTCTATTAAAGTGCGCCATATTAATTCTGCTATGAAAAATCCCATTAATTATCGGGCGAAAAAACATTAGATATGTCAGCTTCTTAGGAGATTCCTAGCTTGAAAGGGCAGATAGACTTTATTGTTCCTGCATTCCCCTTCTGTGAGGGCTAATACATTGTACCTGGCATTCATTTCTTATGAAAGTATTCTAATAAAGCTCTGTTACTCAATGCGTAGCAAATGAGTCTATATACCAAACATGTAGTAACAGGCTAATGATACGCTGATGTCACATATTTGATGATAAATATCTAACCATCTATGTCTCATAAGCGGACAAATATTTTGCTTCCTCAGTTCATTCCTCAGTAAGCAGCAATGTTTTGGTACACGCCATGTATATTACTGTGATATTAAGGGCCCGTTTGGCAAGACTTTTGAAAAGTTAAAAACTACTTTTGAGAATAAGAACTGTTTTTGAACCTATTCAGATAATTTTCTGAAAGTAGTTAGAAGATGTTTAAGAGGAAGTTGGCCTAAGGTAACTAAATAGAAGTAAAAGCAATAGTCCTGTCAAGCGTGTCCTAAAGAGATGCACATTTTTCGAGCCTACTCATTGTTATGTCTTCACTAGTCTATTCACAGCTTGTTTGATCCACAGCATCAAACAACACTATAAAGCAGACAAGTTTTCTAATTATCTAATCCTATTCAATGCGGTCGAATCCAACATACCAAACATGTCACAGGTATAACTAGAAATGAGGTAAGAGCACAAGTCGGTAAGAAGAAGACTTTCCAAGCTAGCACACTCTATTGTTCATTTAGATCTGATACAAGCATATCGAGATTTACAGGGTTCCCTTTCTTCTGATCTACATTGAAAGATCGGGGAATCGCTCTTAACAGCCGTGCGAATGCATCTGTTTCGTGCCATGAAGAATTTGAAACTTTCCGGTTTTGTATAATTGTTGGCTCTCTGATGAGGATAGCCCTGAAACTGATAATCTGATGGATTAAAAATTGGTGATTCAGTTTTTGCACCGAAAACAGGGAATTCACCCTTTGATGCAGCATTGGCTTTCAAACACTTTTCAATGATTGTCGCTTCCTCTTCGAGCCTGGTTCGAAGATTTTTCATTCGCTGTATAATACCGTTAAAATTTTTCCGTCCTGGATAAGATATTCCTTCAACTTCATCCTTTCTTCTGCTAGGAGGACGAGAACACTCACTGCAGAAACTATTTTTCCTCTCTGAATCAAATGCTGCTTTTCTTGAACTGTCTGATAGGCAAAAATAGGCCTGTGATCATAAATGTGACGTTAAGAGCTTAATTTACAAAAATGATGATTCAGAAGTATCATAAAACTTATCAGAAACTTCAAGAATTGTGAATTTTCTGTAAAGCAAATTCTTTGGACGACGCCCCTAATCCCTTTACGGAAAGCAACATAATTCATACATGGACTATCGGATATTAGGTCAATCTCTGCGTGGTCGAGAAGTTTATGGTGTATTAGACTTTTCAGCAACAAAAATTCCATTCTTCTGAGAGAATAAGGAAAAAGAAAGAGGCAAAAACAACCTTAAAAGAAGCTAACCTCAGATACAAGTTTGAATGCAGATTCAGCCTTTGGGTGCTTATTCTTATCAGGATGAAGCTGCAAAGCTGCATAAAGAGAAAGCTCCTCATTCCAGTATAGAAACAAAGCAGAGAGAGTAATTAAAAGTTATAGCCTGGTCCGGTCGATAACAATGAAGTTGGTTGTTGGGGTCGAGTATGTCATTATAATTCACAACCTACCAAGTTTGTGATATTGTTTCCTAATGGAATCTACCCCAGCATTCTCAGCCACCTATCAAAGAGAAACAATGCGAAAAACATCACATCATCCCAGAATAAATCCCGAAAAATAGCATTATAGCAGAAAAATAAGAGATCAAGAATTCAAATACATACTCCAAGGACAAGGTACCAGTCGATAAACGGCGATCGAATCGCGCACCGATGATGCCGGTGAGCACACGCATTGGCACGGGTCAATATGCTGCAGATTTGTGTAATTAGCTGGGATTTTTCTGTTTCATTTCCTGCATTCCCCATCGATTCAATTCAAATGTGGGGATGAAGAAATGGGTTATATATATAGGAAGGAGTTGTTTTTATGAGTTTTTATGAGCATTTAAGAAATGAAACAATCAAGTGGAGCGGTTAAGAAAAAAAGTGCAGGGTTTTCGGAGATAGAAAGGCGTTTTTTTGAAAATGGATCAGTTGGTGGGAGAGTGAAGAGCTGGCTAGGTGAACGCTAGTACCATTGCACATGAGAAACTTGAACCAAATAATTGTACGGATCTCGAGAACCGATCCCGTATGAGGCGGCATCTATAGTCCAGAAGATTATGAATCATGGTGTAGGGGGTTCGAAAACCTCCTCGACCACAATATAATATGCACTGCATTGGACATGTTTAATGAAAGTAGGTAGATGTGTAAAAAATTGTTAACTTTCATATTTCAATCATGTACAACCTTGCGTGTGACATTAGTTTTGTGAACCAAAAAATTGTCAACTTTCTTATTTCAATAATGTCCGACCTTTCGTGTGACATTAGTTTTGTGATTCTAATTCGCCATTTTTACGTAAATTATTCAAAACTTTGTATATTCAAATCAACAAATTTCAAAGTTTTCAAAATGTTAAACTTTCTAGGTTGCATCGAAATTCATGTGTTTTGAGAAAGTGGCAATACCAACATAGAGGATTTTGTAGTTTACCTGATTTACTTTCTATATGGGGGTAGGTGAATCCTACTTCAATAGGTTGGACAAATTTTAATTCGAATGTAATGTTGCACGTGACATAGTACTCTTGTTTGTTGTGCATAATTCATGAAATCCCACGAATGTTTTGTCCATATTTTTACATTATTTCAACCAAAGAAATTGAATTAATGCAGTCATGGCCAATTACAAATAAATAATAATATTTTGACCTCAGCCAGCTTGGGATTACCAAGTACGTAAAGACTTTAACACGTACAAATACTATTAAATAACATAAAGTTAGGTAGGTTATTGACCTATGGGAGAAAAACTAAGCCCCGATTAAAATCAGATTTTTAATAAATTTTGATAAAAATTGATGGGATGTGTGGTTGAAAAGTTGTGGATCCCATGAAATGCGTAGTTAAAATTAATTGTTAACTTCCTCCGCCAAATTATTTAGCCTCAGTGTAATTTAGTTAAAAATCAATTTTTTAGTAAATTTTGATAAAAGTTGTGAATATCATAAAATATGTAATTGAAAATAAATTTTAGAAAATGAAATTCAAACAGACACCGATTATCTGTGAGAATTTGTTGATAATTTGGTACACTATTATTCAATTTATGACTGCTTACCAAACCAGAATTTAGTTGGAGCAGATGGAGTTTTCACATTCATTCCAAGATCTGATGAAATTGAAATATGTTGGATGGGTTGAAAGTTGAAACTGTCATCTCATATTGTTCCACCTTTCATAATTTCTGTTTTCGTTTGCCACTGCTAATTTGAAACTCATTTTTAATCATACGTTCATCTATTAAAATAATTTTGTAAGTAGATTCATAACTTTTTTTCTAATTTTTAATCACACATTTTCCCAAAAAAATCATTTTTAAAATCAAAATATCTCCAAAACAAACACTCTAATTGAGAATCGTCTAGCATGTTTGGCTCATCACATTTACTTTTAAGTTATTTATTTTTCGATTTTTGCTTTCTAAAACATTAACTATTAGTATAATCGAATATGTTTATTTAAGTTCAATAACGAAAAGAGTGGTAAACGCTGCATTTTTTCTTAAACGAAAGTCGATATTCTCATCTTTTGATCAAGAAGTATTATTTTTATTTAAAAAAAAATTGAAAGAGGTAAGAGTCTTCGACTTGAGACTTGAAGAACTTGTAATCAAGTCAAAATTTATTGTAATGAAACTCATTCATCTTTTTACGGGCAAAATTCGTAAAATGTTGACAACACAAGAATTCAATAAAGCTTTAGAAATCTCGTAGCGTGTTTGAAAGGTGATTATAAAATGTTTAAATTATAGATAAATAGAAAAAAAGTTATACGTAAATCACTAAAACTTGTAAATTTCTCAAAGTATGTTGATAAAAAATTACTTGTAAACGTTTATAAACGACGAGTCAAACATAGGCTTATGCTAACTCCATCCATTCCCAAAGAAAACCATCCTATAGGTGCCAAAATAGCCCGACCTCCGTAACGTTAAGGAAGTGTGGTTAGGGATGAATAAAAAAATTTGTCAACCTGTCATGTTGAATCAACACTGCAATTTTAAAACTGTTGGTTTGAGTTTACATTAAATCGTCAATTCTTCAATTCAACACCGAACCAAACCATTTGAAAATGGATCGGTTTAAGTTTCGATACTCAAAAATCGTTGAAACCAAATCAAACCATTTGCCCAATTTTTTTAAAAATTACGTATTTTACCTAAGATATATTATTTATCGGTTCAATTTGTACTTTAACAAATTTACTTAGTCGACATTCTATTGACTCCTTTAAAAAAAAATGATTTATGACAATATATTATCTATCTACTTCAGAAAGAATGAATTTGCAAGTTAAGATCTTATGATTGAACATTGTATTAATTTGTTTAATTAAGTTTGTATTGAGATAAATATAACAGTATTGTAAAGTTTATGTTTAGAATATTTTGTTGGAATTAATTGATAAAGTGTTAAATAATTAAATGTGATATTCAATTACGTGGGTCATTGTAATTAATTTAGGTGAATTGGAAAAGTCTCCAATATAGGCCCATAAGTTGATAAACCAAATTTTAAGTGTCTTATATATGGTAAGGAATCCTACATCGAAAGTTTACAAGAAAAAAGACTTGTTTATATAGTGGGATGTGTGTACAAGTTATAATTTAATAAGTGATCTACAACTTAGCTAACTTTGGCTAGCCAAAGGCTAGCAAACTAGCCATCACTAGAGTGGTGCTTCGCACCACTCGCGCCGCGCCCCGTCCCGGTCCTGGTCTCATCATGCGCACGTCGCAAAGTTCGCATTGGACGCTTTAGAGGCGCACTCGTCGCAAGGAGCTGTGGAGCTTTAAAGTTTTCAAAAATGGACTCATGGTTCGATGTCATGGCAACGGGAGGCTCGAGGAGTTGGCATCCTAGGTGGCACACACGTCACTTAGTCCTGCGTGGCAGTTGGTTCAATTGGACGTACACGTGGCATCTGCATGGCTGGTGACTATTCAGAAATTGGTGAATAGGCATGGTGAATGGACACCACACTTCGTGGTTTAATCTGAACCGTCGATCATGAAACAGTGCGATCCAATGGCTAGAACATATCGAACCAAGTGGTGCACTAGCTCGTGGAATGTTACACACACATTCAATGAGACACTTCAATATCTATAAATAGAGACCTTCAGATTCGGTTTTTGTACACCCAATCAATTAATATATTCTTGATTTTTAAATTCGTTCTCTCTCCATATTCTGCGTAAATTCCTACGATATTTTCGTTGTTATTCCGTTCGAGTACGTTCATTCTTTGGTTCGACCGACAAGGTTGGTATTGTGCAATATCGACTTTGGAAGAAGCGTTGTATCTTGGGAGACAGACGTCCATAATCCCGTTTGCATGTTGCTGGGGGGCGAAATCTGTCTTAAAAAGATTTGCATTGGCATACCTCGTTTCATCTTCTATTTTTATTTCCTATTATTTTCTTTATTCTTTTGATTGCGGTGGTCGTATTTCCGACAACATAATTTACTTTAAGTGTTATACTAAAGTTTTGTGCTAATATATTAAGGTTTCATAACAATAAATATAGGTTCTGTTTTGAGTCTCATTGTTTGTGAAAAAATAAGTTTTTAATAGTGTTTTTTAGAGAATTTGTGGTTAAAAATTATGATAAAGTTTTGGATTTAGGGTGATTTTTATAAATACACCACATTTCAATTATATTGAAAGTCATTAACCTTTATTTATTATCATACTTATATTCTTAATTTTTTTTCTTCGTCGTATTCTTATTTTTAACATTTTATTAATCAGAAAATATTGTCCTTATTTCGTCCAAAAATATTTTTAATGTACTTTAAAATGAGGTTCAAATATATAATCACATTTTTGCATTATTATTATTTTTGCTTATTTAAAAATACAATGGACAAATGAGTCTTAGATTTGCTTATTCTGGAAAGAAATCTTAATCAAGAATAATTTATGTTAATTTGAGAGTAAGAATGATATGAAAAAAGTTTGAGACATAAATATGATAACGTGTATATGTTATAAACCTTCCATGCATTAGAATGTGATCTAGTTATTAAAAAATGTGGTGTCAATACATTTAACCTTAAAAATGAATTTTGAAAAATATAAAATCTTAGAGAATGATACTCAAACTGAGACATAGGTTAAGAATATAGCTTATTATTTTATATGTTTTGTTTACATTTTGGTTGATTAGTAGAAAAATGTTCCTCAATTTGGATCTTTTTCGATTTGATTTTTGGTTATTTGTTCTTTATGGTTTTTGAGACGAATTTGGAATATGGGATTTGGTTAATTGTTGTTTAATTGGCCATTTTGGTGGCTGGAAGAAATTTGTGATATGAGTTTTTAGCAATTTTGTGTCTGTGTTTTTGGGGATTTTCCTCCTTTAAGACTTTTCAATTGCTATGCATTGCTATTGATAGAATTGCAGATCCCACTCCTTTAACTAGTCTTGGAATTGTAGGTTTGTCAGTTGATCTTTGACTTTGTTTTTGGATTTGTTGTAGACTTTTGCTTCCCAGAAATCTTTTTGAGGAAATGGATGGATTTTTGAAGAATGATCCAGTAAGTTTGCAGAAGGATATTGTCTATCATGTTGAGTACACGGTGGCCAGATCAAGGTTCAGTTTTGATGATTTTGAAGCTTATCAGGTAATGTTCTGTTTTTCTAATAGGGCATTTGGGTTTGAGGTAGAGATAGAGGTAGATGTGGCGGTAGTCGGTGTGGATTTTGGGTTTGAGGTGAGGATTGAGAGGAAGAAGATGATGGTGCGTGTGTGTATTTATTATTATTATTATTATTATTTATTTAATTTGATAAATGAAAAGTTACTCTTTTGACATTTTTTAAAATATTAAAAATGCGGTGAATGTTAAATTTTTGGTCAGCAGATAGAATTATGGATGGAAACTGTCCAAATGGGCTTCACCCGCAACATTTGGAAAGGTAAGAGGTTACGAACGTAACAAATTAAAGATTTGAGAAAAATCTGCTAATGTTTCAAAGGTTTGTGACTTTTGTTGCAATTATCCCTTTAATTGATAATATTTGTTCCCACTTCCCTGTACATGAATGTGTATGTAAAGATTATAAATACACGTACACGTATACATAATTGTTTATGTATTACCTCAATCTTAATTCTGCGTTTTTTTCTCGAAATCCCTAATTTTTGTCATAAGTTTTCATCCCCAAATTGAATAATCAATTCATTTTATATGACAGTAATTTATTTTATATATTGAAATTTATAGCTATCAAAAAGTTGCAACCTTTTCAGCTGCAATTGTTGTATAAAAATTGTTTTTGATGATCAATTGCATATAGATATATGTGTTCGTGGAGATCAGTATAATTATATTTTGATCTGATGGCGGTGGCGACAATGGCGACGGCGGCGGGGGCGGTGATGCTTTTGTACTACGTGCTGAGCCGGCGGATGTCAACGGCAGCGGGGGAGGAAGATTCTGGCGGCGGTGAGCGCTCGAAATCGAAGAGTAGATCTGCAAAGAAGAGGCTGGCTCGGCGTCCAGCTCAGGCTCCTGCCACGTGGCTAGAGACGATCTCCACGCTATCGGAGACCCTGAGGTTTACGTACTCGGAGACTCTCGGGAAATGGCCGATCGGTGACTTGGCTTTCGGAATTAATTATCTTATTAAAAGGCAGGTAGGGTTTTTTTTTTTAAGTATGAAACTTTCTTCATACCTTTAGAATTTTTATTCTGTTATTTACTGTTTTATGCATCTTTAACAAATTTAATGTTAATTTATGGTTAAGCTGTCTTAGACCTGTTTATATGATTTGGGTGACTTTTCTCTGTTTTTTGAGGTGTATTTGAAGTATATCATTTATGGAGCCTGAATGTTGATGAAGTCGAAAGTCTTTGATTGCTTGTTCTTCGTAAATTTAAGAGTTTGTTCATGAATTGATGATTGTTCAGAAATTTTGTGGCAAAATAGCTTTTCGATTCCTAATTGAATATTAGCACGGATTGCTCTATTATTGACTGTTCTTTAGCTTATTAACATGTTATTGTAAAGTTTGAATAGTAAATAGAGGAAGTTAGAATGTTCGTGCATTTAAAGAAAGAATAGAATCATTTTTCTATATTTGTACAGTCTTTAAAGGACTTTGTAAGGTGCTGAAATGTGTGATTTATGGGAATGGTTATAAATCAAGGAATGAGATAATACTATCTGCGTCAGTAATCATACATGTGTAATTTCTGCAGATGAATTTTCATCCATGTATGTTATGGTTGCTCTCTTTTTTGTGCTCCTAATGCATTCTACAAAATTTGGGTACTAAAATTCTCATATGTATATATTATTGTAACTTAGGAATGAGAGACTGGTTTTTGCATGCTCTTGTATTTGCATTCAATGCACTAAATCTCACCTTCTCCGAAATCTTTGGCTAAATTGTGTTATGTTTTCTGTCTACAACACCTTAACTTCCATTGATTAAACTTTTTGGATCTAGAGTTGAAGTGCAATTGAGTATAATGATTTTGCAGGATTATTTACAAGTTGCAAGTGTGTATGCTGGCGAAAATTGTGGGCAACTGAGAGGCCCAGAAATCATTGACCAATTGTATCATTATTTGAAATTGTTAACCTTTTGCTATCTTTTCTCAAAGAAGCCATTTCCAATATTTTTGGAGTCTTCTGGCTACTCTGAAGCAGATGTCCTTCTTCAGAAGCCCAAAGCAGGGGTATGATTATCTATAGTCCATCACTGAGCACCAAAATATTTTATTTATTTTTCTTGCTAATTTATGATACCTAAAATTTATTTTTGCAGATTCTGAAACCCTCTTTTACCATTTTACGGGATGAAAATTCGAAGTGCTTCCTTCTTCTTATTCGTGGTACTCATAGTATTAAAGATACACTGACTGCCGCAACAGGTGCAGTTGTCCCCTTTCACCATTCAGTTTTAAATGATGGTGGAATTAGCAATCTGGTTTTGGGATATGCACACTGTGGAATGGTTGCAGCTGCACGCTGGATAGCAAAGCTAAGTACTCCGTTCTTGCTCAAGGCCCTTGAACAAAATCCTAACTATAAAGTCAAGGTAGAAGTTGATCATATCTGTGTATGCTTTGCTAGTTATACTATTTCTTATTTCTTCTCATATTCTCTTTCATTTTCCCCCTTTTGTGTGGAGGTGGGAGGTCAAGAGTTTCTGTTTTTGTGTATGTCCTGCTCTTGGTTTCTCAACTGAATTATTATTGTAAAATAAGGGAATGCACTTCTTGTCAGCATCATTTGAGATGAAAAAATTTGGTGATCAAAATTATTATTAATAATGTGTAGTTTCCATGCCTTTTTAAATATTTAAATTTGTTTTAATTATTGAAAGTTCTTAAGCTTAGTTCTTTTGAAAGTTGATTTGCTATATGTACCTGCATATATTCATATACTTTTGTTAGTAATATGACCAAGCTCCCCATCTTTTATCCAGATTGTTGGTCACTCACTTGGTGGTGGTACAGCTGCACTGCTGACATACATCCTTCGAGAACAGAAAGAATTATCCTCGAGCACTTGTGTCACCTTTGCACCAGGTATGTTGCAGTGTGCTTCATTGACTAAGCTATATTCCAAGTGTCATTTCCATAACATAGTGCTCCCCCTTCCTTTTGGATTTGGTGACATGGGATATTATCAAACGGAATAGGACAGGTTTCTTGTAGTGGTGGTAGTAGTAGATAATTTTCTTTAACTGTAGTCTTGCATCTAGATTAAGCCTTGAGCTTTTATCTTTCTTCTTCAGTCGTAGACGACTTGATGAGGTATATCAATAACAAGGTCTTTTGGTGCATATCATTCGATGATGACATAGTTTTAGTAAATGAAACTAAGAGGATGAAAATCACAAGTTAAAAAATTAGAGTGCTTTGGAATGTACAGGTACACTGAGTAGAAATAAAGATGGAATGCCCCCTTTTAGTTATAGTGGGATTTGGGACAATTGTCACTCTCACATTGTTCAAAAGAGCAATTGTTTAGGTATTTAAGTTTGATTATTAACAAAAGCCACTTGAAGATTGTGTAATGCACGTGATTGAAATGAACTGTGAAATGGAGAAGTGCTTCAAGGATGTTATGTTATGAGAAGATAGATTCTTATGACGTTAAAAGGCTTATTGAACAAATTGTGCTTTATGATGCTTTGTGTTGAGTCGTTAAAGAACAATTGTCCATAACTTGAACATAACAAAATTAGGATGTTAAGATGGACGTGTGACCATACTTTGATTGATAATATAAGAAATAAGCATGCATGTCAGCCAGTAAATGTGGCACCATCTTGGAGCACATTTGGAGAACAACTTGGGTGGTTTGCACACGTTGTACATAGACATGAACAAGTTCTAGTTGTTCACAAGATCGATGTGATTCCAAGAGCATATGTTTGACTTGGTTGCAAAGATTTTGACTAATTCAGATCACTCGTAGTGATGGTGACGAACGCAATGTGATCAAATCCGGTGTACTGAATATGCAACAAAAGAATATTGATTTTTCCTTTTTGTTTTTATAATAATAATAACTGAAATAAACAAAAAGAAAATTTCTATCTACTGACTGATTTTGTATCTTTAAGTTGCTTCTGCTGCTTTTGGTATTATAGGTTTGTGTTTCAAGATCTTTCCGTGGGTAAAGGTGGTGATGAGTGTAGAGGATGGCAACTGGTTAATGGATGTGGATTTTGTTGTTATGACTGCTGCAGTACATTTTTGAATACCTATTGAAACTTCACGAAATTTGTTTGGCCAAAGTGACTTGCTTTGATACCAAATTGACAATGAACAAAATTGAACAATAACGAAATTGAGAAAGAGGGGAAAAAATATCAGTTAATTCAATATCAAAGTCTAAATATAACAATGCAACTAATTATATATAGGTTTAAAATAATATAATTTAAGTAGAAAACAACTAATATAATACTAGAAAATCTATTAAATAAACCCCTAATTATGATTCTTAAAATAAGTATTCAATTTAGAAGGTATTCGATATAATACGTCTACTTGGATTCCCATCAAATGGATCAAATCGAGTGAATGTAGTAGTGAAAAATGATTCACTTAGTTGATTTCAAATTTATCGAGTAAGACTTAGAGCATGTTTGGGAAGAGTTTATAAATGGTTTAAACCCTAAGTAGATAAAATAAGTGGTTAGTAGTTGTGGGTCTCACGATATGTGTGGATAAAAAGTTGTTTTGTGTTTATAAATAATTTATAAACATGAGCCAAACATATTTATTAGTTTGTTATCATTGTTGTTGAAATGGTGGTGTAATGTTGATTTTGAAATATCAGTACCTTAGTGTGATGTATCCGTAATTGTTTACTCAATCGAAAGAGGAAAAAGAACACCTGAGCACCTATTGTTACTTCTAATCGAGAGAAAGAAGAATATTGTTCTTTTCTAAATTTTTTAATTACAATTACCTCTCCTACAGCTGCCTGTATGACCTGGGAGTTGGCGGAATCAGGGAAACACTTCATCACTACAATTATCAATGGCTCTGATCTGGTGCCTACATTCTCAGCTGCTTCTGTGGATGATCTTCGTTCAGAGGTACGGAAATTCGTATTCTTTTTAGAAACATTAAATGAGATATCTCATATTCATCTCAATTTTACTTAAAGCTAGTTCATTTATCTATTAGAATTTGCAAATCCTTACGAAACCCATTGAATCATCAGGTAACCGCATCATCTTGGTCGAACGATCTGCGTGATCAAGTCGAGCGCAACAGAATTTTAAAGGTCATTTATCGATCTGCCACTGCTCTTGGGTCTCGTCTACCATCTATAGCGAATGCTAAAGCAAGGGTTGTTGGAGCAGGTGCACTTCTGCGACCTGTCTCAAGCGGCACTGAGGTTAGATGTTACACAGTTACAGCCCTTGATGGGAACAATCCTGTGTGGAAGCAAATAATAGCCTTTTTCCTCCATTACTTATTGTAATCAAATTTAAGCAAAATGTTTTGGCAATGTTTTCTTCGTTCAGGATAATAGTAGGTTTAGATTTAGAGCATGCTAAACTAAAAAGGTATACTTAAAATTTTTTTTACAATAAATAATTTTTTACCGATAAAACTTAGAGATGAGCAAGTTACTTGCAGTATGGAAAGAGTTATTTACAAAATAAGTAACCTTTTTTATTAAAAGTAATAAAAAAGTAACTTACCCCTGTTTGGAAATTACTTAAAAGTAACTTTTGTTTACCTTTAAGCTTAGCAGGCGCTCTCTTATTCATTGAGGAGACATACTATTTTCTTCCCTGCAAACTGAATACAATGATAAGTTGCTTTCATTAATTAGTCGAAGCGACTTCATGGCTGATTTGTTGTATATTATTCATTATGTATATTATGTTATTGCTATTCAGATTTAGAAAAAAAAAATGCCGTGTTTTCATACTGTGGAAGGTGACCTCTACTTGGGTGGAATACAGGTCATGATGAAGCGTGCGCAAGATGTAGCTCAAGCAGTTGTTAGGACTCGCTCTTCCATATCATCATGGACGTGTATGGGTCCCCGTCGTCGTGCTGTGGTTCCTTCAGCTGATTCCAAAGTGGACGATTTGCCTGAGGCCATCCCTCTTATTCCTGAGACATCAGAATCTCTTGCAATTGAAAAAATAAGCAGAGATCTGGATGCAAACAAGGCAGAATATTGTTCTTCGTCTGATCAATCTGGGATAGACGAGACTGATGACGAGGATGATCTCCGTCATGCGGATAAAACAGTCGCTACATCAACTCTGGAGAATATTACAGAAGGCGAGTTATGGTATGAACTCGAGAAGGAACTCCAGAGGCAGGAGAGTCAGGCAGGTGTCCATACACAGGAAGAAGCAGAAGCTGCAGCAGAGGAAATTACCGAAGAGGAGAAGGTACTGTCCGATGCAGTTGAAAGTCAAACACCCATTTCTTCCTCGGATGTTTCAGAGAATCTACATTTCTATCCTCCAGGTAAGATAATGCATATGGTTTCTATACCTTTATCTGAGGCAAACGATTCAAGTCACAATGGCTCGGTAGATGAGCAAGTTGGTATCTATGAGACACCACGAGAATTATACAGTAAGCTCCGGTTGTCAAGGACTATGATAAAAGATCATTACATGCCTATGTACAAGAAAGTGATGGAACAATTGATCACACAACTAGAAAACGAGGAAGATGCTAACAAAGTATTAACATAACAAGCTCAAACTGGAGCAAAACTATGTTGATTATGCGGGATTTGGCACATTTTTCTTCTTCAACTCGTGATGAGTGGGGATTATAGTGTATATTTAAAGTTAAAAGGGGATTTCTGGTTAGTTCTGTGAATATTTATTGAAAATTAAAGAATATATTTTACAGGCCTTGGCTAGACCAGAACAGTGAAATGTTCGTCTTTTAAAACTGCAATTGATCATAGATGAAAACCTGGAGTTGCAACTTAAACTATGGCTCGTTTGGTAGGAAAGTCCAAAGTTGTTTCTTAGATTTAGAAGTTACTTTTAAACATATTTTGATAATTTTATGGAAGCATTTTGTCTGACTAGGAAAGTTTTTAAAGGAAGTTAGCTTCCGTAGGAAGTTATTCTTCAAGAAGCAAAGGTAGAAGTTTTGCCAAATGAGTCCTCAGGCTGATGGAAGTTAGCAACACAAAAGTACATAAAGCAATAACATCTGACCAACATTCCTAACATCAAAAGTCAAGAAAAGTACCTTTTTCTTTTCTTGAAATCCAGTTACAAGTCAAGATACCTGAAATTAATATATACACATGAAAATGGGCATTGAAAAAACAAAAACCAAATCAGTATATACCCAAATTATATGCATATATGTATAGGTGTAAAAGAATTCAATAAAAAAGTTTCTTCTTTTCTTGAAATTCGAGTGAGTTAAAGATATTTGATAAGGTAAATGGGCATCAAAGGTAAAATGTCATCAATACGTACAACAGATACATATGCATATATGTAAAGATGGTAAAAGAATTCACCACCTCTCTTGACATATCGATGACAGAAAACGGTTATAATTCATAATGGTTGGACTAAATATGCGAGATATGAAAGGTAATGTGAAATTGTATCTAATGTAAATTCGATAAGTTATGGTGTAAATCAAGATGTGCATGTAGCAAGATTTGTTCAATAAAAAGCTTCTTCTTTTCTTGAAATTTAAGTTAATTAAAAATATCTGAAATTGATTTCCACATGGAAAATGGGCATCAAAGATAAAAATCCTTATCAATATGTACACAAATTATATACAATTATGCATAAATAGATCACAGATGGGGTACCTTTAGGTGAAGAAGAAAGCTTCTGTATGTGGGTTTAATTGACGCACCATGGACGAGTTATTATGAATTGTCAAATTCCGAAGCAAATCGCACCGACTGAAACGCGATTTGTAATAACGCATCGGTATCTTGGAATATCACGTCACTGGTCCTCAATCTATTGTTTTAAGTAACAAATTGATAGATAACCTTTTTTTATAGTAAAAAATGGTTCATTGTATTAGACTCCTTTGTCAAATTAGTAGGCTTTGAAAAGTCAAAGTAAACCACTTATTCCTGCTGGAAAATTCTTCCCACTTCACTTGCTTGCCCATAAATGTTCTACCCATTTTCACGTGAAGAAGTCAAAAATGGCTTGGCAATTACCCACCCACGACAGCCTTCCTTTTATTGTAGGTTAGGGTAATTTTGTCAAGTGGTCGGTGCAATTGAAAAGGCAAGATCCATCAAAATCATGCTGCAATCTGGGTTCTGTCAAAGAAATTTGAATTGGGGAGTAAATGTGCAACGGACAAATTTCTTCTAAAAATGACAATAAAATTTCCTCCAAACAGGCTCCATAAGAGTAACTCTTCCAATTTGTATAAAATAGTCATGTAATCCCTGCATGTCTAATTTTATGAAATTAGATTTTATTTTACATCTTGTGTCGGTACTCAGACCCACATCATAATTTTTTCTCATTACCATATGCGAAACGACTCCCCACGGGTTAATAAAGAAAATTGCTTATTTTTTATGGTAATGTCTAATAATTCGTCTGTTTGCAAAGGTTGGAAAGAAAAAAAATGCAAAAATTTCGAAAAATGTTACTCCTATAAAGAAAATTGCTTATTTTTTATTGTTGCTTCTTGTTTGGCCTTTATGACAGTTTATACAAATTAACATATACAATTTTCTCCAACAATCTGTTCACGTCAACTGAGACCTGCCCCCGGAAAAATACACTCAGCTGTTCTGTTCATAATCCAAAATTCAGACTCAAATGAAAAACTTGAGGTGAGGCATAGTACTCACTCTCATTAAATACAGGTCTTGAATCTTTGCATATGAAATCCAATGGGAAAGAAACAAGATGTCCTTTCGCACACACTAATCTTTCCATGGGATCCGTGCATTTAACGTCTCCATCTTCATATGATTCTAACTTATTAGGGGCTATTCCTAAATCAATGGTAGTGTGGCCGAGTTTCTCTCTCCATGACACCATACATTTCGGAGTGAAGCCCTGCATGCAATCAGGCGAAATGACCTTGTTGTACCTTGTATGTATGGACTCGTTAGACATACAAGAGAAGACGTCGTCACGTCTCGGTAGATCATTGTATTTGTCTGCCAATCAAATTCGAAAAGGGAAGTTAGTCGTAAAGATAGAATGTGAAACCATAAGTTCAAAGGTACATTCGGACCTTCCTAATGAAGCTATTCTAGAACTCACTCACAGAAAAGTAGCTTCCTAATGCTTGCAAAGTTAGACTAATTAATCTTGATCAAAGTGCTCAATCCGGTGTCGTCTTGTGGTGGCCACCTTACAAGCAAGTAAAATTCACCTTTAAAATTGACCAGTAAAAAAGTGCACAATGTGCTTATAAATTCATAAATCCAGCATTTCACAAGTGACGTTGATTTTGAAATAATCGGCAAGAACCAAATCCTACAAAATCAACGTTCATGATAGAGGTGTCAAGACGGATGGACCGGTCAGATTCGTGAAAATGGGGACCTCGGGCCGACCCGTGACCTGTGCGGACGGTTCACTGACCATGGAGGTGTAACTCGCGAGCTTCGCGGGTTGCACCCCCACGGGCCGCAGTTAACCCGCGGCCCGTGAAAAAGAAAATTTGAAAAAAAAAAAAAATTTGGAAACACAAAAAAAGTGGGGAGAGAGTCAAACGGCTCCCTACAGCAGGCTACGCCTGCTAGCTGCCTGCAGCTTTCCATGCAGGCGCAAGCGTAAGTGTAGCCTGCATGGTGAAATTAAAAAAAAAAATATATATATATATA